CAGATCACCAGCTGCAAACTCAGATCAGATCAAAATCTAGACCAGATCAAAACAAATCAACAGAACAGATCAGCAGTAGCCATTAGAACAAATCACCAGCCATTAGAGCAGATCAACAAATCAGAACAGATTAGAACAGATTAGAACAGATCAACAAGCTCATCAACCATGAGAGTTGGCCAAGGATAAATCACCATATCTTGGTATGGAGTTTCCATCAGAAGAAGCTGCATATGAGTTTTATAATGAATACGGAAGAATTGTGGGGTTTAGTATTAGAAGAGATTATTGTAACAAAAGCAAGAAAGATGGTGTTATGACTAGTAGAAAGTTTGTTTGTTGTAAGGAGGGAGAGAGGGAAAAAGATAAACGGTACACGATGATAAAAAATCCTCGAAGTGAGACAAGAACAAATTGTAAAGCATTCATGCATATATCTTTTAAGTGGGACTTGTCGAAGTGGATTGTGTCGAAGTTTGATAACAACCACAACCACCCTTTGCATCTTCCTCAATGTACTCATTTGATGCCATCTCAGAGAAAGGTATGTGATGCTCAGGGTATAACTATTGACATAGCTGATGAGACTAGAATATCTCTTAAGGCTTCACATGATCTTATTAGTGCTATAGCAGGAGGGAAAGAATTTGTAGGGTTCACGTGGGAGGATTAGAAAACCTACTTACATGCAAAAAGACAGCGAAACTTGCAGTATGGTGAAGCAGGGAGTTTGTTAAGATATTTCCAGCAGCAAGTGGCAGAAAATCCATATTTTTACTATGCCATTCAGTTGGATATAGATGAGATGATTACTAATATTTTTGGGGCTGATCATCAGATGATAACAGATTATGGGCTTTTCGGTGATGTGGTGTCATTCGATACAACTTTTAGAACAAATAAGGAGTACCGTCCGCTTGCTTTATTTTCTGGCTTTAACCACTTTAGAATGACAGTGATTTTTGGTGCAGCATTATTGTATGATGAAACTGCAGAGCCATTTGAATGGTTATTTGAAACATTTTTGGATGCAATGTTAGGAAAAAAGCCTGTTAGTTTTTTCACAGATCAAGATCAAGCAATGGCTAAGGCAATTTCACAAATCATGCCTAAGGTTTTTCATGGGTTGTGTACTTTTCACCTAATGCAAAGTGCTTTGAAGCATTTATGTTACTTGTTCAAGAGTGGTTCAAAATTTAGTAGCGATTTAAAAGCTTGCGTTTATGACTACAAGAATGAGCATGAATTAATTGAAGCTTGGAATTCTTTGATTGATAAATACAACTTGCAAGAGAATGAATGGATGAAAAGAACTTGGAGAAAAAGAGAGCAATGGGCGCATGTGTATATGAAGTGGGTATTTACTGGAGGAATGCGAAGCACACAACTTAGTGAAAGTCTAAATGGAACATTAAGGAGATATTTGAAAGGTGATCATAACATTGTTCAATTCTTTACTCACTTCAATCGGATTGTTGTAGATAAGCGGTATGAGAAAATTTCTGCAATATATGATTCTAGACAAAAGTTGCCAAGAATGAAATTGAAAAAGTCTCCCATTTTAATCCAGGTTGTGAGTTTGTACACCCCTCCTATCTTTGATTTATTTCATTGTGAGTTGGATACTATAGCGATCCCGGGTTAACCCTTGTTGTATAGTGATCCGGACATGTGTCCGTGGATGTTGGTAGTTGTTTATTATCTTGTTTACATCCTTTCTTACTTTGTATTTGAGTTATAGGATGTGTTGGGCGGATTTGTTTCAGGTTGGTTGAGTTTAGAAACCAAAACTAGTTGCCCAGGTTTTGGCCTGTACGCTCGAGCGGGGGTGTTGGCGCTCGAGCGGAGATTACACCCTTTCAGTATTTTTTCCTGTGCAGCGTTGTACGCTCGAGCGTGGGATTGGCCGCTCGAGCGGAGGCCTGGTTCTGCAAAAGTGCTGGGCGAGTGCATTCTGCGCTCGAGCGGGAGGTTGGCCGCTCGAGCGGAAGTCTGTGATGAGGGAATTAAGGAATTGTGTGTAAAAGTAAATAATATGATGAAGGGAGTTGGAAATTTTGGTACCAATGAATTAGATGTGGATGACTCCAACTTTGCACAAGTTAAGGGCATAAAGAAGAAAGATGTTGGACACAAAGGGAGGGGTAGATTAGAACCTTGGCATGAGATGATGAATAAGAAGACAAAAGTTATTTCACAACCTACCCGCCTTAGTAAGGTATTACCTACGTACTTTTGAAATTTCAAATGACATGCATTTATTTTTATAAATTGTGTAAAGTATTGATAACTTTTTGAATTTCTTTAGACTATTGGTCAATCAAGCAACATTACAAATGTTCAAAATTCATCATCAAGCCAACCGCAGGTTAGCTATTGTTTTATGTTATTTATTTATTATTATTATTTTTTTTAATAAATTGTGTAATGTATTGATAAATTTAACAACTTATTTAGACTATTGGTCAATCAAGCAATATCACAAATGTTCAAAATTCATCTTCAAGTCAACCACAGGTTAGCTTTTATTTTATGTTATTTGTTTATTTTTTAGACTACATTGTATTAGTATATTTACTTTTCACGGTGTTTTATGGAATAGGATGTTGGGAGTCTCTATTGGCCACAATTGATAAATTATGGGTATAATCTTTTCACACGTGATACTAATTCATACTCACCAAGGTATCCACAATCACAACCTTTGTCTTTCCAAGCATCACATAGGCCACAAAGTTCTCAAGTAAGTAATATATGTAAGTTTGTAATGTAATTTAGTCCATAAAATTTATTCTAATGAATTTTCTTTTCTTTTCTTTTTCTTTTCTTTTTTTTAGGGAATATCACTTAATCTGGTGGGGCACAATTCAATGGAGACCGAATTTAGAAATGAGAGTTCTTTTGATTTTTCTATTTATTCCCAACTGCCTCCACAAAATTGACATGGGGATCCACTTTGTAGTTTTTGTTTTGAGAATTCAAATTGAAGGTTTTTAGAATTTTGTTTGGATAATTTAGAATGGTTGAGACAGATTTTGGGATATTTGGTAGGAGATTTTGAAGTTTAAATGTCTCAGAATTTTGTTTTATTTTTTTTTTATATAGATGTTGGATGTGAATTGAATATATTTTAGCCTTAAGTTGGGTTTTTTTATTTTTTATTTTTTTATACAACTATTTTTTTTTTTTGAAGTTAAATTTTTTTTGCTTATAGTTTGATAAATTGATTTGTTCAAATGCAATTTTTTTTCCCTTTCAATTTCACTTTTGATGCATTTAAGCCAATTTTAAAAAAGTCAAAACATGTATGATTTATTTGATTTTAATTTTAAAATTAATCTTTTTTAAAAAATACAATTTAGTTTCATAAATTGATTTGTTCCATGAATTATTTTTATTTTATTATATTTTCTATTTATAAAATAATTTTTTTTTTAACACAAACACACCCTTTCAACTTTACACGATTGCGGGACCCAGAAGATGGCAGAGTCCCTGTTAGGTTTATTGTTTTGTTTGTTATAGTGAAAGAAGAATTAATGAACCCTCACATTAATTAAATAAATAAATAAATAAAAAAGTTAAAACGCCACCGTTTTAACTCACAGCAGTCACAGCTATGAGTTGCCCACAGCAAGGACCCCTCCTCCTATTGGTAGACATTGCATCTACGTCATGAATGCAGTACCAATTAATGTTTGGGACATGTCACACACATCGAATACCTTCTCTCTTCTATTTCTTTTAGTAATAAGGATGTCCGAAGTAATTTATGCACATTTTCACTAATTTTTTTTTAATCCGATTAAAAACAAATTATCCACATCAAAATTAAAAAATTCACAAGAAATTATTTTTCGTCGCTTAACTCTAAAAATCAAACTCTGAACAATTGTATGGGAAGCACAACCACTAACCACTTGAAACAATCTCATAGTTATATGGAATTATCTTCTCATTTTTATATGGAAAATGCTATGGACTCCAAATAATCTATCAAATTTTTTACCAAATCTTTTACATGGGTGTGGAACCCACACAAAAAATTTGATAGATTATTTAAAATTCCTAACATCGCTCTTTTTATATTGTAGTAAAACAACTCTTCTTTTTTTTTTTTTTTTTCTTCCAGTTCTGATTGGTAGCTCAAAAATTATGAAGCTCGAATGGCCCAGTCCAAAATGACGACATTTTGAATTTTTTTTTCTTTTTTTTTCTTGTTTTTCTGAAGATGGAGAACATAAAGGTGAAGAAGAAAAAAGAAGAAGAAGAAGAATAAGAGACAAGAAACAGAGAAGAGGGAGTTGGAGAACACATAGAGAGAGAGAGAGAGAGAGAGAGAGAGAGAGAGATACACATCATCATCAACAACATCTTCATCAACACATCATCGTCATCAACAACAACTTCATCAACATCTTCATCAACACATCATCGTCATCAACAACAACTTCATCAACATCTTCATCGACAACATCTTCAGCAACATCATCATCATCATCATCATCATCATCATCAATAACATCTTCATTAACAGCATCATCATCATCATCAACACATTATCAACATCAACAAATTTTTTTTTCCTCCTTCATCTTCAGATCCAGATCTACTAGGAAAAAAAAAAAAAAAAAAGAGAAAGCATAGTCTGAAAGAGGAGATTGCCGATACTCACCGGCGCCGCCACCATCACAGTCGATCATCTTTTCTCCTTTTTCTCTCTCGCCTCTTCTCTCTTCCTCTTATCTTCTCTCTCTCTCTTCTCTCAGTCTATCTCTTCTTCTCTTTCCTCTGTCTGTGTTTGAAAGAAAGAAAAAGAAGGAAAAAAGAAAAAAAATATCCAAAACGACGTCGTTTTAAGTATTCGAGTCACTTTCGAACCATATTTTTCGAACTACAAAATATTATTGTTTTTTTTTTGAAATTTTGACGTGCTCTCCTATAAAAATACATCTCATTCACTCACCTTCTTGCCTTTAAAAAAACGCGCGCGCGAGAGAGAGAGAGAGAGATGGGTGTGGTTGTAATGCTCATGATCTCTCTCATTGTAACCATGCCATGGGTTCAAACCCTTCAAGTCGAGCAAACCAATAACCAACTTAGTTGGGCCAAGACACTCAAATCCAAAAAGCAAATCGTAACCAACCTCCACTTCTATTTCCACGACACAGTCAGTGGGAAGACCCCAAGCGCAGTGCGCGTGGCTCAATCTTTCTACACTGAAAACTCGCCGACCCGTTTCGGAGCCGTGACGATGGCCGACGACCCGTTAACCGAGTCGCCCGACCCGTCTTTGAAACTGGTGGGCCGAGCCCAGGGACTGTACGGGTCGGCTGGGCAGACAGAGTCGGACTTTGGGTTAATAATGGCTTTGAATTATGGGTTCGTAGATGGGATTTACAATGGAAGCTCTATTAGCATTGTCGGCTTGAACTGTGTTCTTCATTTGGTCCGAGAAATGGCGGTTGTCGGAGGTACTGGGCTGGCTCGCGGGTACGCCGTTGCGAAGACCCAGTGGTTCGACCCGATCTCTGGGGATGCCATTGTAGGGTACAATGTTACCGTTGTTACGAGAAAGAATCACAAAATTTAATACAATCTTCGAATATTCATTGTGTGAGATTTTGTGATCGGATTTAATGTATTTAGAATTATTCTAACAAAAATGTTATCAACTTTCAAATGTGAGTGTGTGGGATAAATTTAAAATCAATGAGATATGAGTTATAATAACAATGAAGGTAGACTTCTGATTATTTTTGTAAATAATTTTCTAAATTTATAGTATTGTTATTCTAATTAGAATTTAGAAAAAGTAAGGGACTTTGAAGGGAATAATGCTAAATTTGATTTATTATGTCTGCTAAGACTATCTTCAATGTTGAATAAAAAATTTGATCAAATTTGAGTTAAAATTTGATGAAAAATTTGATTTAATACTGTTTACTTTAATGCTAAAACAAAATTTTCATCAAATTTTTTGACATCCCCGGTTGTCCGGGAGAATGTCCAGGCGGATGTCCTAAAAATCGTATGGAAATAAATAAAAAAGTTGTCAAAGTTGCTCTTGAGTGGACATCCGAGAAGATGTCCAACCTAACAGTAACAATTTAAATTTGATGAAAGATGAAAGACTCCCTTTATTTGATGAAACTTTTAGTTTTTTCTCTATTTGATATGAATATGGTGAAATGGTTGAAGTGCCAAAATAAGGCGTTTTTCATCAAATTCAAATTTGATGAAATATCAGATATTGGATTGGAGATGCTCTAATGCAAAAATAACATATTACATGGTAAACTAGATATAGTAGGAAAAAGACCTTGGGGTTTAACCCAGTGGTCTTGTATTCATATCATAGTGTGTGGTGAGAAGAATGTCAAGAATTCGAGTTGATGGAGCAGCGGCGACGCCTTTAATTGTAATATAACTTTATTAACAAATTAATATCTATAATCTTGACAAAAAATTTACTTATAATATAATTTTGCTAACAAACTAACATTTTACAATCTTGGCACTCACAAAAAAAAAAAAAAAAAGAAGTAAAAAAATGTGATAGGTGTAACATTACTCAGTCTGAAGTAGCATAGTTTGTTATTTAAAAATTTACTCATAAATAAAGTGTATGATATAAATTTAAATTTAGTGTTATGTAAATTATACCTAAAATTAATCTAGTATGTATATTTTATTTTTTAATAAATTTTTAAATAATCTTTTAATGGTTTTAAAACAATTTCATAATAAAAGGGAAAGGGTGGCACAGAGGAATCAGGATCCTCACCTGTTCTTTTTAAAGTTGATGCAAAAATTTGTGTAATTTTATAGTGATTTTATCTCAATTTTAAATTTGGCCATTTGAATTATGTTTTTTCGCTGACATGTAATGTTAAGGTAAAGATCATAACAAGATTGAAACACAAAAGTACGACAAAAACCCTTGGTCTATGACGAGTGGAGTATCTGGGTGTAAGACTCAATTGTATTCTTGTGTATTTATTGATTTTTAAATATTATAAGTATCTGGGTGGAAGACTCAAAGTACTGATCAACTTGTTTTTGTTTAGATTTTCATGATTTATTTTTTTAAAAATTAAAATTTTTTATTTTTATTTTTTAAAATTTTTACTGATTTTTTTAATATTCTAAGTAATTTTTTTTAAATTTTTTTTTTAGATACACCTAATATAAATACACTTAAAAAATATAATAATTGTAAAAAAAAAATCTCTAGAAAACTCACTAAATACCAAAAATATATTTTTTATAAAAAATATGAGAATTCAATATATTTTTTATATTCTTGTGTATTTATTGATTTTTTAAAATATTTTTTTATAAATATTTTAATTTTTAGATACATCTAAGTAACGTGTATCTAAAAAGATGAAAAAAAAAATTGTTTAAAATTTTAAAAATATTCACTAAAAAAAAAGAAAAAAAAAGAAAAAACTCAATTTTAAAAAAATTGAATTTAAAAAATTGAAACCAAACACACTAACTCGTTTAGCAACATCAATTTTTAGCCTAAAAGCAAAAAAATCACTAAAAAAAACTAAAAATCCAACAACTTATACCAAAAAATCAAAGATTTCATTTTATCTCCACTTTTTGAACATATTTTCGTAAAAAACAAAAAAGTCATCTCAAACATAGTGAGTGTTTGGGAAGTGAATTTTTTTATAGGTTTTTTTAGTTGTAGAATATTATTGGAGAAATTTTTTTTTGTGTTTGGGAAGATAGTTATGTTTTTTTATGGTTGGATGTGATGTTTGTGAGACAAAAAATGAAATGATTATAGGGTTTAATGTGATATTTTGTTTGGATATATTTTTTTCTATTTTGTAACCAATTTGTCTCTTAGTGAAAAAAAACAAAAAAAAAAAAAAATCCTTCCCAAACACCGCCATACTATTTTTTTTTATATTACATTTTAACTAAAAAGTCAAAAAAACTACTTAAAAAAAGCCTAATTAACTTACCATTTTGTTTGTTGGTTGTGTTATTACAAGAATTTCATCATTTTCCCAACAAATGTAATTTTACTCTCTTTTTCTAAGAATCTAATGCTACACAGGAAATTAGATCCAACAATACATAGAAATTTAACAACCATCACAAGGGGAAAAAAAAAAAACCCTCATAATAAGAAAAAATTAATGACATACAATAAAAGGCCAATTACACTAACGGTCCCTATAGTTTGGAGTTTGTGTCACTTTAGTCTTTGATTTTTTAATTGTGACACATTTAATCCTGAATTTTAAATCTTGTTTCAAATAAAAACAATTGAAGATACCATTATTTAATTTCAAGGGCAAATCATTAATTTGATAAAATATAAACTAATCTGACAAAAATAAATGTTAAAAATATGTTTTTGAATTTTTAAAAATTATTTCTACCCATTAAAGATAAAATTATGTAAAATTGATAAATCTTTTAGACATTTATTTATTTATTTTACCAAATTAATTTTTATTATGTGCTTAGATGATGATCATGTAATGGGTAGTTGTTTTTATTTTCATTAAATTAGTTTTCTATTTTTTTCAAAAGTCAAATATAGCGACAATTTTAATATCATTATTAAATCAATATCCATTAAATCAAAAAATCCAAAACTAAAAACATTTCATATATTAAATGTATCGATTACACATTAAAATCCTAACAACTACCCATTACATAATCATCATCTAAACACATAATAAAAATTAATTTGGTAAAAAAAAAATAAATATCTAAAAGATTTATCAATTTTACATAATTTTATCTTTGGTGGGTAGAAATAATTTTAAAAAATTTAAAAATATTGTTTTGACATTTATTTTTGTCAAATTAATTTATATTTTATCAAATTCACGATTTTACTTTTGAAATTAAGTAATGGTATCTTTCATTGTCCTTATTTAGAATAAGATTCAAATTTTAAAATTAAATATATTACAATTAAAAAATTAAAAATTAAAATAACACAAATCATAAACTATAAAAGCTGTTAGTATAATTTGCCCTACAATAAAAATCCTAATAATGCAAAAGAAATCATTATTTTTATTATAAGATTAACCTTCTCTAACCTCCCATATAAAAATATACATAGTGGCAAACTCAACTACATCAGATGGTTGAAAATCAGGGTTCAAAAAGACTATTCATTGCATTTTCCTTTTCTTTTATTATTTTTTGGGTGAATGATTACATTACACTACGATGGAACAACGAAGCATAGCAACATTTTCTCAATGGATTCAGCTTGTCTCCAGTTAGAGATCAAGATTTTATCTTTCAGTCTGTTTCATGAGTCTATTTTTAGGTCCCATTTTAATAATTCGAACGATTCTGTTAGCACCATAAATCTGTAATTTTTATTGTTATTTATTATTTATATAATTGCAGGACACGTGGCATCCTCTTATTCATTTGGAAGTTAAAAGAAGTTATAGAGATAATGGAGAATATGAAGGACAAAGTGGATGAGTGGGAGGACAAAGTGGATGAGTGGAAGGACACATGGCAAGACAAGAATAAAGATGGAAGAAATGGATAGTTACTAAGTAGTTATTGTTGTATTTTTTCTTCTATAAATAGCCATTAATAGCTACATTGTAAAGGGATCCAGAACTTAAATCAAAGACAATTGATTTTAATATTTCTTGTCATTTTCCTTATCTTAGGAGTAGTTTAACATAGATTTATATTTCGAAGCATTTATTTTCAGTATTTCCATTTCGAAGCATTTTATGCACTTTCTTTTCGAAGCATAGGAGTAGAGGTAAGTATTTATTACTTTGATTGTTCACTCAATCATCTTTCTCCGTCCCTTTTTCTTCTTTTACTTTTTCTTTTCGCTACACTTGGCAAATTTGAAGTCCTCTTCGTTGAGGCAAAAGAACCGTCAACACAATCGCTTGATACTTGGCTTGAATTTAATCTGTAAGGATTTTTCAATCCTTACTGGCACGCTCGCATTTATGATATTTTTTTTCGTAGGAAAAATAAACTAACAATTTTTGGCACGCCCGATGGGACAACCAAGTGTAAGAAATGACAAACTATTTGGATTTCGCCATTCGAACTTGTCAATATGAAATATATTGGCGTGAAAAAGAAATTTTGGATCTTCAAGAAGAGATCCATTTTCTTGATGAATTAAACTTCCATCCCTTACAATATTATTTGGTGGAAGAAAAAAGACACCATTTAATTGGAGAAATTCATCAACTTGATATGGAAATTCGCCAATGGAATGATGAGTTATCAACTCTCACTACCAAGTCTTTAACTGAGGCTTTAATGGCCGGAATTAGTGAATTTTTTCAGAATTTTTCCATCGTTAAAAATAGCAAAAGCAAAGAGTTGATTTCATCAAAGGCTCGGGGGGTTCAAGAGTCCGTTTTAAAAGAGCCAAATAATGAAATTAACACAACGAAAGAGTATGTTCTTGAGCCAAATTTGGCTAAGAATGATGTTCCATGTATGACTCGAGGGGTCCAAAAATCAAATTTTAGAGAGTCAAGTCATGAAAATAACATATCTATGGGTGATTTTCATAAGCCATTAATGGCTCGACCTAGTGCATATCGAAATCCATAGTGACTATTCCGAATTAGGACAGGTTGCTTACCCGATTATAGGTTGTTTGAAACCACTGTGTGCGCAGTGAAACCCTAGCTCAAAATAGGACAGGAAAACCCTACCCCTCCATAGGGGTGTTTTGGCTCTCGTTTACTTGCTATGTGCTTTTTGAGTTGGCCTCTACAGGAATGCATTTATCAGTTTACAAGTCTGGGTATCAGGCCTGCGGGCATCAGTATCAGTGTTTTGAAAA